TTGACCGGTTGACAGTTTACATTACAGCACTCAGCCGAGAATGTCCAAATGCGCGACTCCGCCTTCGTTCCTAGAGGTTGTACTGCTGCAGGAGCAACCCTGTTGTTCCTCGTCCCTCCACCTTCTCCTCCTCCACACTACCAGCTTTACGAGGCGTGGTGTCGGAATCATATTAGCACTAATGTTGCTACAGTTCTCGGTCCGCTACCCCACTTCCTCTCTGTTTTTATATGTTCTGTCCGCCTCCAACTGGAATGTGCCCATTTTACGAATCCAGCATGGACAGCTGAGCAATATTTTCGTGATGTGTTCCCGAAACTGCATTAAACTTTCATCTCTTCCACGGCAAATATTGTATTAAAGACATTGTTAAAAGTGATGCTGTCTGTAAAGCACGAAAAATAACACTAAAAAGCGATCAGATGAACAGGAATGTTTCGGTTCAGTGAATCGTCTGTATTCCTATTCAACACCAGAACTGGACTTCAGTTGCGGTGTTGAATAAGAATGTACACGACCTAATGAACCGAACCATTTCAGTACGATGGTTTCACTGCTGGTATATGTATAAAAGGTAATGTAAATATAACTGTAAACATACTACACGTGGTGCGGGACAGTTTATTCTTTGTTAATATGCAAATTTTCAATGATCACCTATGGTAACTATAGTTGCGCTGGTCGCACGGACGCAAATAGTTTAGATGTATCATGGTCATTACTGTGGTACTAGCTTATTCAAAATAAAAATTTCAGATGTACAGCTGAAGCATGTGTCGTCTTGGTAGCTTTTACATTAGAGCAAGATTAGTCAGCCTCACTTGTGATGCTTAATCATTCTTGGACAATGCTAAAAAACTAAAACTTTGAGGAAATGTTCCCCATTTATATACGAGCAAAATCACGTGTTTAGAAGCGCCCGAGCCCACGTATTCTCACTATTGCACCTAGCTGGTATGTTGTAGAGATCCAAATATAAAGTATATCGTATGTATATGTACTGGTCGACAACCATTTGGAGGAGCGGACTATTCCGTATAGTGTACCTATATTATATCTATAATAGATATGAATAATATATGGTATGGGTGCCTCGCATTCTGCGTCTCTGTTGATTGTTCATTGGTACATTTAAGACATTAGAACCAGTGGGGAAGGTCGCTATTCACTGCGTACACGATAACGGGAAGGAAAAGGTTGCATTTCGCGTGATAATGGCCTAGGGTGTATTTTCCATTTTCCAGCGCTTCTTACGTGTTTATGACTGCATGTTAGTCTGATATCCAACACAGTACCTTTAATTGCCATTTTGCAACAACTGTAATGTCAGTCGCGCTCTAAATCTTTATGTTTGAAGGTATGTTATAAGTGATGCTTTCAGAAAAATGGGCAGAATACGTCTTGCGCGTGTGAGAGTACGAAGTCAGGTGCTTTCGAATGAAGAGTTAGCCATTCGTCGTGGATATCTCTCTGTTACATTGCCCGAGAGGGCTCCCTTACAGCAGCGAAATGCCCACTTTGATTCAGTCCCAAGCAGCAGCGACGGAATTAACAGTGATGTTGGAAGCGTGGGCGCCTGTGCGGAAAGTACTCCTGTGCAGAACTGCAGCGTGGCAGGTAACAGTAGAACATCCAATTATAACTACGTATGCAATTTTCTACACAACTACTCACTATCTTCCTTCACAGATGATGAAGTGGTGTCGATAACTGCGCTGGATTTCGTATTGAGGAATGCGTCTGCTCGTGAGAGGAAACAGCAGCTGCACTGGGCTAAAGCCATCGGCGCAAAAGTTCCCACACTACGGGCTGTGGAAAAGTATATGGAGGAAGTGATGTCAGCTCAGAATTTCATATGCCGATCATTCTGCTCATCTTGTCATGGAACGCTGCGGAACAGTCTGTCGACCTGTGAGACAGCTGACTGCAGTCAATACGGGTTTCAATTTAAACCCTTAAAAAAACATGTTGTGCGAGGTTCACGGTGAAATTGGCCTCCGATATCTTGCTTTGGAACATTTCAGATATACTGATTTTTGTTTGCAGAATGCAAGCTAGGCCAGTGCCTTGCACATTAGCGACAGTGGACTTTGTACAGCAGCTGAAGCGCATCGCGACGAACAACATCAGGGAAATATTAAACGTATGTCTAATCAAATGCAACACTGAAACTGCTTGCGCCTTCTAGCAACTTCATATTTTAGATGCAACGAAGTGGTCGGCACTTGGCAAATGATTTTCCTCACAACTTTCTTGCCGATCGAAATGCTTTCCCATGTTACAAGTACGGTTTAACCACAGAGCAAGATGAAGCCAGCCGAGTGCTCACAGTTCGTCTAGTATTTAATTGCGACGGATTTCCCACACCACACACGAAGTAAACTTTTTATAAGAAATATGACTGCACTATTTCTGCTTATAATTTTGGCCGAATTCCTTTCAGAGCAAAAGTTTGGCCAATATTCTTCGAAATCCACGATTTACCTGCGCATATCAGAAGTTTATATCGAAATGTGATTCTTGCGGGAATAATCAGCTGTCGTACGTTTTTTGTCTTAACGAAAAAAAGCAGATTTGTTCGGTGCGGATTTGTAACTGGCCATTGTGATTTTCTACATTAGGAGAGCGCTAATTCTTCCTTCAGCATTTTGGGTTTTTTGCAGAGAAGACACCGCATCAGGAAGATTTTGCAACTTTTCTTGCATGCATTAAGAAACCGCTAGAAATGTGTGCGGAGGGATTCGCAATAAGTGTGGACGGCAAGCAATGGGTGTTACGAGCGCTGTTTGAAGGTGCTGTTGTTGATTTCGAGGTAATCGCGTCTGGGGTCTTCGTTTTATCACCACTGGAATTATTAATTTGTACTGCACCTACGCACAGTCACTCATCTCTACAACGGGTATGCCACTAGCTTGCACTCGCCTAATTTAGGCTTTACGAAATCTGTTCCAAATGGCGGGTTGGTCCGGTTATTACGGTTGCCCAAAATGTTATGCTCGTGGTGGCGGTCCTCTTCAGTGGACAACAAAATCGTCTGATAGTAAACCGCGGGACGAGACGCAGGTCGCAAATGAAGCACGTAATGCCGACATGGGATTTCGAGGTTACAGTTCCTTTCATTCCTGTCTTCAAAACCCACTGCAAAAACTTTATGGCATCTGCGAGACAGATAATTTACAGGTTACTCTCCACTGCTGCAGCTGTTTTTACCTACTCGATGCCACATAGATGGTTTGCATGTGTGCTCTGAAGGAGTGTTCAAGCATTTGCTGACAGGTATGGTAGCGGCAGTACTTTGTTTGACTTATATCTAGAACAAAATTTCTGGCGATTGCATGCACGATGTATGTATTTTGCAGATGTGTTTGGCGCACGATGCCGTTCACCTCGCATCAAATGTAACCCTGCTGACGTTAGAACTGTTATGCAGGGCTGTACATCTGCTAAGTTCCCGTGCTATTCCATAC